GTAGAAGACCTTTATTAGAGATAGAACTGGACTAGAATTAACTAAGGAGAAGCTAAAGAACTATTAAGCTAATAATAGAGAATTCGAGAATATTATTAAAGGCATTTCTAAAAGCAGATAAGAAAAGCTTAATAAGATTAAGACTATAGTAAACGGTTTTAATACTAAGAGTTAGAATGGAATTATACTATATAATAAAGCTTTTAGCTAATATATTAATAATATCTATAATAACTTTAGTAAGAATATCTATAAGAAGTTATATTTCCTTTTTAAAATAAAAACTTTAGTATATAAAGCTATTTAATTAATTAATAAAGCTATTTTAAAGTATATTAAGGATAAGAAATATTAAAATACTAGTATATTTACTAAATTAGATATTACTAAAGTACTTAAGTATACTAAAGCTATTTCGGAATCTGGAGAATTAGAGTTTAAGCTACTATTAGCTAATAACTTTAAAGCTAGATAGTATACCTTTAATACTTCCGGAATTCTAATTAAGGAAGTTTATAATAATAAGCCTTTTCCTGCTTTCCGAGATAAGCCTAAAAAATAGGCCCCTATTATAATTTCTGCTTTAATTTAACTAGATCTAGCTAAGAAAAATAGAGCTAATTTAATAGAGCCTAGTAAGAAAACTACTAGTAAAGCTAGCGGAACTAATATAACTAGATAAGAAGAACCTGGCAAGAATAGAAAGTAAGCTAAGCCTAAAACTTCTAATAAATAGCAGAGATCTAAATACTAGACTAAATATAAGATTAGTAAAATAGAAGAAAGTAAAGAGAAATCCTCTATTCTAAAGAAAAAAATACTATCTAGAAAGATATCTATAATTATATTTAGAATTAAGAAGTAAAAGACTAAGAATATTAAGTCCGGAGAATTTAATAAAGGCATTTAGTATATTTATAAGATATTAGCTAAATAGAAGTTAATACTTGCTCGGTAAAATAAGTATATCTTTAAGGGAATATATAGCGGTATTTTGGGATCTATTTGTAAGCGAGAATACTATAGGATTAATAATGGATTTCTTAAAGCTCTTTATATAGTATATATTTAGTAACTTGCTAATACTTTCTCTATTAATATATAAGAGATTAAGAATGCTTTAAAGCTAGTTACTAAGATTTATAAAGTTACTAAAGGCAAGAAGTATATTTCCGTTACTTGAATAGATAAGGAAATACGGAATTTCTTTTTTAAGAACTAGAAAATTAAAAAGTATAAATATAAGTACTATATTTCCGATTAATTCCGCTCTAATCTATAGCTCTAATTCAATACTATAGTCTCTATTTCTAAGTCTAATATTATTAATCTGGATATTAATAGCTATATTTATAAGAAGAATTACCTGAAATAGATTAAGAAGCTTAGTATTTAAAAGCTCTTAATAGAAGAAATAAAAATATTATAGTTCTATCTCTAAAAAGATAATATATTAATATATAGAGATCTTAATAATAGCTACTTTATTTTAGCCTCTTAACTTTTAATAGCAGATCTATTAATATAGCTCGGATTTTATAAAGTATTAAGCAAGTATTCTATTTATTTAGTTATTTACTTTTAACTAGCCCGATACTTTACTTCTGGAAACATTAATTATAATTAGTATAAAGGTAATACTAAAGATCTGGCTACTACTAAAGCTTTAAATAGCGAATTCTATCTTAATAAAAAGTATTAGAATATTAGCTATATTTTCCTTATAGATTATAAAAAGGCTACTACCTTTAGTAAGAAGTTCTTTAAAAATATTAATTACTCCTCTATTTCTAATAAATTTAAGCCTAAAGTAGCTAAGGAAATAGGCGAGTATTTACTAAAGATAGTAGAAGAAAAGACTCCAAGTATAGTCTATTTAATTAGATAAATAAATGCCTTTAGCTAGGTAATCTATAAGTCTGAAATTATAGGAAAGTATTAATTCTCGAATAATATATAAGTCGAAAAATAGCTTAATAATAATTTACTACTTAATAGGCCTTTTACTATAGTTCTAATAAGTCTAGTTACTATTAAGAATAGAATATATAAAAATAGAGTCTTCTATAAGGTTATTAAAGCCTCTTATCTAGAGCTTTCCCCTTTTATTAAAGGTTAATTTAAAAATACTATAAATAATACGAAATTCAAAGAAGCTATCCGTTTAGAGTATATTAGTATAATTTATAATATAATTTACTATAATAAGCCTTCTTAATATCCTATAGTAAAGGCGGAAATTGAGTAATAGTTAAAGGCAAATACTAATTAATATAGAGAACTATATTAGATTTAGTATAAGAATATAGCTAAGCAGGTTCGGATTACTATTAAGCAAGTTCGGAAATATAAAATAAGACTATTTGAGGGTAATAAATCTTATTTTAGATATATAGAGAAGAAATTAGATTAACTAATAGAGGAGAATCCGGAATATTTCGTTATTTCGGATTCTAAATAGAATTTTTCTATTATTTTTAGTACTTAGGGAATAAGTATAAATAAATAAAAGGTCAGATATAGTATAGCAGGCTATATTTGTCAAAAATTATATTATTTTGGCGGTTTTAAGATTTAGGTTATATAGTAAAAGCTATAGCCTTTTATATATAACTTGCAGAAATTATATAAGAAAGCTGGTTTTTCTATAGACTTAAAAAATAATTCTTTATAAGTATTTAATTAATTAAGCTTTTATATACTATATACTATTTATACTTTATATAGGTTTTTGTCTTATTACAGTTTCCTTTCTATACTAGTTCCTATTAGGCTTAGTAGATTTAGGGATTATATATTAATACTATAATACTATAATTCTTATTTCTAAATAATAACTTTACTAATCTTATATAAATAGTATTTCACGACTATATAATAGTACTATATATTTCTGGTAAACTAATAGCTAGTAAAGAAGTTCTTATATTTAATTATTTTTATAAATACTTTATTTATAATTAATAGAGATTTTTCTTTTCTAAATTAAATATATCTATTATTATTTACTAGTTCTTTATTAAATATAAGAGAATTACTAGAAATATTTTAGTTTTAAAACTATATAATATAGCTTATACCTTTAATATAAGTACTTTAATTAAATCTATAATTAATAAAGTATTAAATATATAAATAATAAGAAATTATAAAAGTTAAATAAATTAAGGAAAAATCAAATTCTACTAAATTTATAATAAAATTAAAGTTATTAAATACCCTCAAATATTTTATTAATATATATATTATATAATTAGATATAAAGAAATATATTAAAAATAAATATATTAAATTAAAAAAAATTAAAAATATAAAATAAAAATATATATATAAATATATAAAGTATTTCAAAGAATCTAGTATTAGATTAGATTACGAAATTAGTATATAATTAGAGGAAAATACTATTTTTTGCGTTTTTAAAAAGATTTTAGTATTAATATAATTATTATTTTAGGAATTATATATTTAGTTATAGAACTCGGAAGTAATAAAATATAAGTAATAGAATATAAATAATAAAATATAAAGTACGAGATATAGTTATATAATCTTATATCTTATAAGTAATTTAACTAGTAACTAGTTTTTATTAGGCTTAATAAATTTAGAAATTATATATTAATATTATAATTTATAATTCTTACTTTTAAATATTATTTACTTTACTAACTTTAATATACTAGTATTTTATATATATTATATATTTCTACTAAATTAATAATAACTTATTAGTTATTTTTCGAAAATAGTTATATAAAAGCCTTTATTTATAGCCTTTAATTAGGCTATTATTAAACTCTTTCTATAAACTTTAAATAATTAATTTCTTTTTTTTCTTTTAAATATATTTATTTATTATAAAAGTCTAATATTTTCTTATAAATATATTACTTGAGTTTTATTAATATTATATATTTATAAATATTTCAGAATTTTAGTTATTAATAAATTATTTTAATATTTTAAGTAATTTCTTTAGTTATATAATAGGCTTATATTTAGTTAATAATATAAGCTCGAATTAGATCTAGATTTATTTTTAAGTAAGATATCTTAATAAATTTATAAAAAGTTTTAATAATTTTAATAATTTTAATAATTTTCGTAATATTATTAATAAGGAAAATATAAAATCGCAATTTCCTAAGGTAATTAAAATTAGGCAAGGCTTATTAAAAAGCACTAAATTATTATAATAACCGAGTAATTTTTAATATATTAATTTCTCTAAACTTTACAAATAATAAATAAATAATTTTGAAGTGTATTTATTATATATAATAATTGCGAGTAATATATGTAATTAATTCTTAATTTATAGTTAAACCTTAATACTATTAGTTCCAGGGTCTAGCCCTGATTAAATATAATATTTCTAATGCCTAAAGTAATACTAAAAGTCAAGTGCGACGTGCAAATGAACTGTGCAAAGTGCGAATATGCTATGTCCAAAGTGCTAATGTTGTATGGAATGAAAAATCGGGGTTTTGGCAGTACAGGGGTTAGAGGCCTCGGTATACCGGAATGTTTGCTCTTCCCAACCCTATGTCTCATATGAGCAGTGCCGCCTTTTCTTAGGCTCAGCTCAGGCCAGGTTTACCTTTGGCTCAGGCTTGTGCAGGCCTGCTTATCCTATTCACACGCTTACTAGCAATCATTAACTTTTAATGAGGGCCCCGAAAAGGCCCCTCCTTCCCTAGCTAGGGATCCCAAATATTTACCTTCCTAATCTAAAATTAGTGACTACAAACAGGAAGACAACCAAGGCTACATTCTCACTATGTAATAGAGGAGAGCTAAAATATTATTATTCAAGGCTTATAGTAGTACATGTTGAAATACAGATCGGAGAGATCTCCCAGCCAGTCAAGAAGGACCGTCAAGGTACTAGATCACATACAACTACCCACTTCCTACCTCACTAGCTGACGCGCTATTTGCTTGTAACCCTTTTCTTATGCTAAGTCTAAAACCTCTAGACACAAGCAGCTACTGTTCTAGCATGAATTCAGATATGAGGCCCAATCAAAACCATCGTCATTGGATTCCACAAGCAGTTGCGAGGTATATCCAGACATTGCCTTTTCCGTAGTCGCTATTGTGGGCTCGATATCCAGATTCATCGGTGTACCGGGAGTAACATGGATTTGAGAGCTCGTAAGGCGTTGATTTGCCGAATTTCGAGGACAGATACAGAAATATGAGCATCCGCACATGAGCCAGTCCGTATCGTTGCCAGAATGCGATACTGTAGCAGTTCCCTGAGCGTCTGGAGGGTCATTGCTAGCCACACTCAGCGTAACTCCGGATTCATATTGAGTCATATCTTGAGCTTCTGAGTTGAGGTCGACCGGACCTACGTCTTCGGGAGGGTCTCGATCTTGCGGAGGTGCGGCAGTATTCACGTCCGTGAGCATCTCTTCCTGCGCAGGTTGGTGCTGAGGAAGCTTTTCATCACCAAGATTTAGATGTCCGGTATTGACAGGAACCGTTTGCTCAGCCGACCTATACTGGAGTCTGTAGGAAGAAAATGTTTGTTCTTGGCAATCCCGAATCAAATCCTCCATCCGAGCTATTATCTGGTGTTCGATGGGCTCAATCCCAGCTGTGATTATTGCTTCCAGAGATTGCCTGAATCTTCGAGGTACCTCTTCTCGAGCGAATGCCACATAGTTGAGGAAGTCTCTTGACGCTGACCAATTTTCATAGTTGTCTTGAATTGGATCAAAGTCTACAGCTGATCAGACCAATTCTCCCAACTTAGCATGAAGGGAGATTGTTGGTAAACTTACATGGCGACGGGACCGGTTCCCCTGGGAACAATATTTGATAAATCTCCCTCCAACGGTCAGCCTCGGACTGCCCTGCGCTTGTCTTTTTCCTGCTTTTTAGCTGCTTCTCTACATCAGCCGTGATTCCTTCTTGTTCCCGGCATGGCTGTAATTCACAGCTCACCGCAAGTCGCGAGTGGGCCTGCAATTCTTCTTGACTTTCGAATTGCTGACAACACCTCGGGCATTGCGGAGCTAATTGGTGTCGTCGATAGAGGTGTTCCCTACGTTTGTTGGTATGTCTCAACAGGACGTCGCGAGCCAAGGTCATACTTCACTCTTGCTATAGTCCCCCAATGTCCCAGGCAGCAAGAACGAAACTCGTCGATATTGTATTTGCGAGGGTTGTGTTTTTTAAAATGGCATGCAAAGTCTAGCGCTTTGTTTCGCTCTTGGCGAACCTTCGTTTTGTTTCGTGGCCGTTTTGGCGCTCGGCTATTGTCACCTCCCCCTTCAGTCGGCTCATCATTGCTGTTACGCTTGTTTGTGAGCTGTGTGGAAGTTGTTCCTGGTACATTATCGTTATGGAATTCAGTCCATGCTGAAGTTGTTGTCCCGCTGGCATGTTTGTAGTTGTTAGAGGTCCATTCTTGGAACTTCAGCCAAAAGTGCTCCATGATCCTCTCAACCATTGCTTGCTGAATACGACTCAAAGTTAATATAATGATGCCATCGAAGGCCTCATTTTCACCAACACTTGAGTGATAGCTACTCGATCTGCTGAAGTGATCGGACTCCTCGCATTCGGAGTCACTCTCTTGGGAACCCCATCCAGATTCAGTTTTCGCTTCTATCTCTTCTTCTATCATAACAGAGCTCGAGGCAGCTAGAAATGTAGCAGTTGTCATATGCAGGTCCATTACGGAAGAAGGAGAGGAACCTCTGCTTTGATTAGCGGTGAGGTTTCCTTGACACTTGGGGTTAAAGTACCTTGGAGATGAGACAACTTGTGATGAGTCATATAATTGTCCAACTATACTCTCTTGAGGCGAAATTTTCTGGGGTTGCATCGGATTGGGATTTTCTATAAGTGCAGATAATTCAGGCGTTAACTGAGATGTTGGATTGTCATTTTTGGAAAGGACGCCAGCTTCTACAGAATCATGTAAAAATGGTTGAAGGAGCCCTCCAGGGAGGCGTAGGGAGGAAATGTGACCAATTGCCTTCTCTGTAAGGTTGTCGGCTTTTGGCAAAGAATCCTTAAAACCTTGCTCATAAGGTTGAGATGGATCCCACGACCCCGAGCGCAAAGTGGCGCTAGTCGGGTTGAGGAGCATTCTGCTGACTGTCGATCTGGCTTCTATAGGTTGGTATTTGCTGGTGTGGTTCTCTGCTGCGTTTCGTCCAAATTCGTCTTCGAATCTCGTGTGGCCATTCCTGGATGAGGCGTCAGCCATTGCCGTGGTCTCATCGCTTGTCTCCTCTTTCTTGATGCTGTCACTACTGTCCAGATTGCTCGTGCTATTGAGCCTATCCTCATCGTTCTTCTCTATTTCCAGACAATCTTGTAATTTCGAGATCAAGACATTAGTAGAATCTTCCATAGTTTGGGACATTATTTGCCTTTCGGCAATAGTCGTGTAGGGCGGCGTATGAACACCTTCTACCTTAGCCAGCCCCTCCGGCAGATTATTCTGATTAGTGCGTTTGTCGACAAGATCTTTTAGCTTGTGTGTATACGTGTCGTCCTCTCTATCAGAATCGTTCACACTGGTCAAGGTTAGCGCTTCCTATCACAATAGGTGAGCATTTTGGGGGCTTTACTTTACGACAGGGCACTCGCGCCGGGTTTCGCGTTTTAATTCTTGCAAATTTTGCTCTTCGGCCTCTTCTGCAATTTTCTGATGGTGACTGGACTTTGATGTAGTGGTTTTTGAGGCTCTCGTCGTATCGCAGGATGGCTTTGGAAAAATCGGTTCTGGATATCGGGGGATCACCGGCCGAACAACGCCGTCGTAACCCATGGTGAATTCCGGAAAGAAACTGTTTAGAGAATGAGTAAGGTCTACATGCTGGATTGCTGGGTTATGGGAACGGTCACGTGGGTATCTGGTTGGTTTGGGAAGTTGGCTAAAGATAGAGCTGCGCTGTAGGAATGATGTATGACCTCAATTTCGTAACTTCCAACCTCACAGCATGGTTGTACCTCAGGATTGGAGTCTACCTCGGTGTGGTAGCAGCTGAAGAATGATTGCCCACAATGGAGTAATCATGGGATGAGTGTGGGAAAGCGACGCTTAAGGTATTTTCCTGTCAGGCTCTCATCGAAGGGTTTCATCTGACGTGCTAGGTACCTGCTCCGTATCTGTTCCAAACTAATGGTCTGGATGATCTCCGGACGAAGAATAGATGTGATAATGTACGGCGTACGGCGTAAAAATGATGTGGTTGTTATTATCCGCCTTTTTTTTTTCTCGCGGTCGCGCGAAACTTTGCAAGGTCATCTTCGCACAGGTACGGGTTGATTTAGCGACGCTAACCTTACCCGTCGGCAATTCCTCGCTTTGCTGGGGCCGACTTGCACTAGCAAGTCGGACCCAGCAACTCCGACATACCACCAACTCCGACATTTGCAATAAAATATTAATTATTAAATCAACTACATAAAAGATCGAAATAATAAAATTAGATTATTATAGCCCTCAATCAAGTCTATATTCGCCTAATAGAACTTTTTGCGATATAAGAAGGTTTTGGTATAAATTATTAATAATTCACTTTAAAATCATAATATTATCCATACTTCCTATAGAAATCAGTTTGCAGCATATTAACTAATTGCCATATTTATTAATATTAAATCATATATTACTATTAGAATTAGAAGTCTATATATCTCCCTGTATTATATGAGTATTAATAGCTTTAATCTTACGCTTCCTGCCCCGTGGCTTCTTTCCTTGTGGCAAAGCTTCCTGTCTTCTAGCCTCCTTCTCCAAATATAGCTTCGTCTTATACTTTGGTATCTTCCGGAGCCTCCTAGCAAGCTCTTTAACCTGTCTTCTCGATGTTCGACGCGTGGCTTTTGGCATAGTAGTTGATTTGGTGGTTGAATTAGTGGTTGATATAATTAATTAATGCCCCGCGATTTTTGGTATTTTTTGGCTTTGGCGTTAAGCGAGTTCCCTCCGAAAAGAATTCTAAAAATCACGTTTTAATTTATAGCATAATACCACGTAATTATATGAAAAAATGTTCTATTGCGCGATTATAGAGTCTAGTATAGCCTATAATTATATAAAAAAATTATCTTTATTGGATGTGTGGTTGTTTTTTAATCTAATATATAGACTAAAAAATCGATGTCGGAGTTGCTGGGATGTCGGAATTGGTGTCACCAGCGAGCATAGCGAGCTGGCCCGAACCGGGTGCGGAAATGCCTGCGAGTACAGCATCTATTATTCTTTTCGCAAAATCAAAATTGATGAATCGCGATTTTTTTTGGGGCCGCATTTATATGGAAAACACACTTAATTATGGCCAAATAAACAAATCCCATGCATTATAGTCAAATGCCCTAATAATATTACTCGGTCCTCGCTGATTTGAACTGCCCCCGATTTCCCCTACGTTTTGATTGCCTATTCCCCGGCCTATAATCACCATCCCCTGGTAATTCCTTCTCTATATCATCAAGATCTGATTTATCGTCGTTATCGCTTAATATAATTACCTCCCGCTTCCTCTTTAATATAGACTTTAGAGGTTGAGGAGGTTAAGTGGGTAGAGCGGAAGCGAACGCTAGTAAAAACGTCAGATCTACTAGTATATTTAAATCCATTAAAACTTACTAGCTATAGGAGCAGGAGTAGGAGCAAGAGAAACCATAATTCCAGGTTCTAGAGTAGGCAGATCGTCCGAATTAAGATTGTCGTCCGAATTAAGGTCGTCACCTGACCTATTCTCTGCAGGAGTAACCTTCTCCCATATAGCTTCGATTTATTAATTAGGAGTCGAAGCAGGTAAAGAAGATACTATAGATATAGCTATAGATATAGATATTGCATTAGGGGTAATATTAGGAGATCCCCCTAAAGAAGGGGTAAAATTTAGGAAAGGTAACTCCCCATCCCTCCTTTTATACTTATCCTGAATCTCGTTATCTCTTTCTTGAATTCTATTAATATCTTAATTAAATATAAGATAAATATACTTTGGCATGCTCTTATTTAAAATTAGCCAAAGTAAGATAATAAGCCGTTAATATCTTTTTTAGCTTTATATATAAGATTAGTTATATAATTAATTCTCTTGTTTTTATCCTTTGGCCAAACCTAATTATATTAGTACTAATTTTATTAGGATACTAATAAATACTAGCTTACTTTACTTGAAAAAGACATCCTATTTGCGCATTCTAAGATCGTAATTCATTAATTAAGCTTCTAGTCTTTAAGTAACGGAATTAATAATAAAAATGCCTTAGCTAAATATATAGTAAACTTCTTATATATTAGTTTTTAACTAAAATAAAAATTCATATTAGTAAAGTAGTATTTCTATAAATAAGCTTTATATATATATTAAACTCTTCTACTTTCCGGAGCTTAATTTAAATAATTTGAGCCTTCCGGTACTCTTCTAAGCTAAGGAATTTCTTTATAGTTAAGGCAGATATACTTCTTCTAGTAAAGCTATTCTTTATTTCTTCTATTTCATATATATATAATATAATAGAAATAATAATCTTATATCGTTTTTTAATAATAAAAGTAAAAGAAATCGGCGATTTGCCCTTACTAAAGGCCTTTATATATATCCCCTAGCTAAAAGTAAGAGATCTAAAGGCCTTATTTCTTTTCTGGGCCAAACCTAATAAAATTAGTAAGTAATATATTAATATTAGAAGTTAAACAAATAAATATATACTTTTGCTCTAAGCTTTCTAATAGAAATTACTATATAATTGCTTTAAATATTCGAGCTTAGCCTACTGCCTCCTCTTATATACTTCTGCTTTAAGGACTTCCTCTAAGAGATCTATATCCGGGAAATAGTAAAAAGAATAGGAATTAGCTGAGATATTAATTCCTTAATCTCTTAATAGATAGGTAGTAGTATTCTAAAGTTGAGTTTGGCTAGAAAATAGTATACTATCTAATATAATAATTAGTATAGCTAAAGTAAGAGTAATAGAGGCCGGAGAAGAAATAGCGGAATTAATTATATTATATAATAAATACTTTACTATAGAGGGGGGGGTATAGTGCCTCTTATATAAAACAAGAGTTCTATAAATTGAGATTATCTATTATAAACATTTAGAAATAAAAGAATAAGAATTTGATTTATAATCGAATATTAGAAGGAGAATATAGCTAATAAATCTAGTAGTTTAGTAAATTATAGTATAAAGATAATTAGAAAAATAGAACTATAATATATTAATATTATTTTAATTCTTTAGCTAATATTCCTATAACTTTTTCCCTAAATAATTTATATACTAGGAACTTATTTCAAAGATTATTAATAATAGTATATTACTAATATATAAAAAGAAATAAATATAAGAACTATAAGAGATGCCTTTTAGCCCAAATTAAAATTTATTTTATTTTATTTATTTCTAGTATTATTATTATTTAAAACATAGTTTCCTATATTAGAAGTAATA